TCTGAGCCACCCAGGCGCCCCCATTTTATTTTTTTTAAAGATTATTTATTTATTTATTTGATAGAGAGAGAGGGAACACAAGCAGGGGGAGCGGGCGAGGGAGAAGCAGACTCCCCGCCAAGCAGGGAGCCCAATGCAGGGCTCGATCCCACTGAGATCATGACCTGAGCCGAAGGCAGACGCTTAACGACCGAGCCACCCAGGCTCCCCATAAAACTTATTCTTAACCCATGGGCCATACAAATCGGCAGTGGATCAATTTGACCCATGGCCATAGTTTGCTGGATCCTTGCAAACTCTCTATCATTAAACAAAACTGAAAGTAAACTTTTGCCTGGTCTTTTCTGCATAGGGAAACCCACTCCAGAGTGCATGGAAACACCTCACTTTAACTGTTGTTGTTATTATTGTTATTGTTATTGTTACTATTTCACTCTACAGACTTTGGGTATTTCCAGTGCCTATGGCAGGGATTTCTTACAATAAACCAAAAATGGTTTTGAGAGAGAGAGAGAGCGCTTGAGCACGGGGGTCAGGGGCAGAGGGAGAGAGGCGACGCAGGGCTCGATCTTAAGACCAGGAGTCAGATGCTTAACCGACTGAGTCACCCAGGCGCCCCAGATAGCTTACTCTTAAACTAGCACATCTTCCCAAAATGGCCTGAAAGGATTTTCAGCTTTTGTTGTCATAAGAATTCTTCCAGAAAATGGCATATGTTTTATAGTTATATTGATAATGAAAGAAATCAACAATAAACCTTCTGTTTTTAAATAATTTTTAAATAAGCAAATAGTTAAATCCCCACTATTTAGGCTGCCTTTCTTTGACTAGAAAAGTGACATTTTAAGAACTTGTTTGGCCTCAGTCTCCATTTAAAAACTCCTTTATCTTGTTGACTTTTGTCTCTCTGGCTTGTGTTCACATATCTTTTAAGTGTGAGGCGGGAGCGGCCGGTGTATCACCGCTCCCTTTTCCTCCCAGCTACACCTCTTTTTTCACTGTCTCCTGTCACTGCCCAAAGGAACAAAAGTGTGGATTTTTTCCCCCTGTAAATTTCCGGTTCCAGGTGAAAGTATCTAAATTAAATTGGTTTCACCTTTTGCCCATCTCTGTAGGAATGCAGAAAGAACGCTCCTTTCCATTTTAAGCATGAAATACATGCTTAATACAGAAAAAGCTTTAAATGCAGGGAAGTATGAAGAAAATGCAGAATAATCACCCATATTTCCATTGCCCAAACACAAATACTATTTCAGAGTATTTCTACACAGTCCTTTTCTTTCTTTCTCTTCTGCTTTTCTGGTATCTTAGTTTATGGGTATATTTTTTCATGATAGCTGTGATTACTTTTCCTCCTAATATAAGCATCTCTCTGTTTTACACAAATGCCATAAACATGTATTAGATGTAGAATATTTCTTTTTTTCTTTTTAAAGATTTTATTTATTTATTTGAGACAGAATGAGAGAGAGAGAGCACATGAGAGGGGGGAGGGTCAGAGGGAGAAGCAGACTCCCTGCCGAGCAGGGAGCCTGATGCGGGACTCGATCCCGGGACTCCAGGATCATGACCTGAGCCGAAGGCAGTCGCTTAACCAACTGAGCCACCCAGGCGCCCCAGATGTAGAATATTTCATCCAGTGAATGGAATCACAATATGCTTAATTATTCCTATTTCTAGATACTTAGCAAACCTCACTTGTGTCATCTCATTGACTTTATCCATGA